AATTTCATTTGAAAATATAATAAAATTATATAGTAATTTAAGACAAGGATTTAAAGATTTAAAGAGTGGAAAATTTTGAATTTTTTAGTGAGTAATAAGTTAATGCAAAATTAAAGAGGAACTTACAATTGTTATCACTTCCCCTTTACTGGGAGGGAAAGGTTACAACAAAGGAAACTTTTAAGAAAAGGAGGTGCTTTAGGGTGAATTGGATAGTAAATTGAAACAAATTGAGTAACAGATTACAAGAAAAATGATGTAAATGTTGTTATTTCTCAACATAAAATTAATTTTAAAAAAATATATTTTTAATGTATAAAAATATTAAGGTTGTTTGTCAAATTAAAATGTATTAAAATATTCCAAAATAAATAATATGGTTAATTTTACAGTGTACATTGTATATTAATTAATTAAAATATTATGTTTAATTAATTATTAAATTTAATTACATTGAAAATATTTATTAAAAATTAAATAATTTATTGATTAAATAAATTATACAACTAGTTATAATTCAAATTTTAGTTTAAAAAAACAAATACAACAATGGTTAGATATGTGAGGATGTAACGAAGTTTGCTGATATGGAATGATTTGGGTTCGAATCTCAAAAGCCTGCCATTCTAAGGACCTGAGTTCGAGTCCAGATTAGCAACCTTATTCATTTTTCATGGGTAGTTTGCCCAACATATGTCGGGTTCCATCGTTTATCATCGGATGTCCCCATTGCGGGAGTGTCCAAATCCGTGTACAGTTAGAAAAAGAGCTTATTAATGCTTTCAAGATGGAGTCTTAAGAAAAGATACTCGTCAAACTGTATCGCTGATATTCAATTTCCCAGTATATAAAGTGACCATTCATTCATCTAGTAAGGTACTGTACATTTGTACAGTACATACTTGGCCCCGCTTATGGCATTACCAAGTTAAAGCAAACACATTAGAGTTACAGGAATAGGCCTACTAACATTGTAGATTATAAATAAAAGTAAATATTACTATATTATAATCTTATTGTATATTATTGGTGCAGAGTTGTTACTGGTGGTTGGTTTTGCCAGATGGTCAGGCCGCTCATTACCGACAGTTCTTTGGTGAGCCCGAATCCAGGCAATAGTGATGGTATTGCCAGAATTATTAATTAACTGCCTAATTCCAAAGGCAAGTGGATGTAAGCTAGAACTTTTAATTATATTATGTGCAGAAAGATGACAGTCAGTATAGATATGTATTGTGGTTGAGGTTTAATTAGCAAGAGTCCAAGTAAGGGCCATCCTGACAGCCATTAATTCAGCTTGAAAAACGGAACAGAAGTTTCTTAGACTGTAATAGTTGTGATGTATTTCCTTCGTGTCAACGTAAACGACAAAGTGCATCCAACGGACTCGTCAATTTTTGAACCATCAGTAAACATCTCAATTTCAGCAGGATTAGAGTTAGCGTGGCTCATTTTGTTGTAACTGCCAGGAAAGGGCGTAGAGTAAAAAGGGCAGGGTTTCTCCAGTTTGTCCTGCTCAAAAGTGGCATTAATCAGATTAATGTCGTTTCCGCACATTGCTAGACGAAGCGTTTCATTGAGTGTGATTATTAAATCGGCAGGAGATTTTCTAGCGATGACCTGTAAGCTCTGGTCATGAGTATGAGAGATCAATATGAGATCAACTTTCGTTTTATATAGACTTTACTTGTGGCCTGACCCCAGGTACCACAAACGTAGGTAACCACAGGTAAGTATAATGATCATAAATGACGCTCATGGCGCCAGCTGAGAGGCCTCAGCTTTTTCTTGCCACTTGCACGAAGACTTGCGTAATCAGCCCGGTGCGCGTAGATATATACTCAATGTGGAGGATTCCACAGGAGGTGAAAATCAAGGATAATCACCAGGTATTTAAGGCTTTTTTTCGATTTTAATGGTCTTTCCGTTCATCTTTATATGGGGTACACTTAAGAAAAAATTTGATTGGCCAGGTTTGTTAAATACTGTCCCCTTCGTTTTCTGAGGGTTGAATTGTAATTTGTGTCATGTGTCCCAACTGAAGATTTCGCTGAGCATTGCATTTCCTTTGTGCTCGAGGTCAGCTCTTGAGCGACCCCCCCTGTAACATCAAAACGTCATCGGCATAAGAGTCAGAGTAGGATTGGCCGAAATCTTGATTTTAAAAAGCATTAAAGATAATATTCCACAGAAGTGGTTCACAGACCGTTCCCCTGTGGGTAGCACCTGGTAATTAGTTTAGAATAATGGGGCTGGCTGCAGTGTAAAATGGCCTTTCTATTTCTTAAGTAATCCTATAACAAGTTGAAAATGTTGGAGGGGCAGTTGATTTCTCTCAATTGATCTATGATGAGCGGCCACTAGGCGCTGTCAAAGGCCTTTGATATGTTAAGAACGACCCCGAGTATATGCGGTATTCTAGTAAATTTTTAACTGCTAGGTGAATGGCATTCTCGGCCTATCGCTGACCAATCAGCATTCTCTTATTTCACTGCAAGGTAAGATCCGTAAAAACGCGTCCTGGATATCTTGAGTTTGATTCCTCACCAAACTGTCGTCGTTATTATGGGCTTGCCCCGTCTCTATGGCCAGAACATAGGAAGAATTATTAACTCAAGGAAACCCGTGAGGATTTCTAAGGATCTGACCTCGAATTGGGTTGTTTAACTGTTCCTGCTGCCGGCACTAAAAGATATATTCCGATATCCATCATGAGTGAAAGCTCTTGATAAATATGGAAAAAAACCCACAATGGAGTCAGCTAGATAATAAGTTAGGGCCTGATATATCGGTCAACCATTTATGACATTTCTGAACCTGTACGGACTCGAATCCGGGATTTTACGGGAGGTCAGANTAAATATTCAGAGTTGTGGCTATCTGCATATGTTTTATTTTTATGATTTACTAATTTTTTAATCCCTGATAATTACACCCATATTTTTATATTTAATAAAGACAAAATGACAATCTTTAAACTAATTATGTGAATGACCAGTGCTATACAGATTGCATATATTTTGGCATATGTGCAACTTAGCAACATTTGATAAGATCACATGCTTCTTTTTTCTTTTTATTTAAGAACTGATTTGTAACTACTTCCTGCATCAATCATCCAGTCATCAACTCGAATCTGAGAACTCAAAACTCGTGGACTAATAATTTAACACATCAAAACCGAATGATTAGGAATGTTTTCTGCGTGCGAACGTATAACAAAGCATTACTAAAATAATCTGAATGCTTAGACAATGTAAGGACACACACAGGCTTTGGACCACCCGATAAAGACTATCGGATGGTCAAGTTGTTAAAAGCGTAAAGGATATGATTTTATCCCTCTGTGGAGTCACTTCCCTTTCAAGATGAGAGAGATATCGAATGTGTCACCAGGGACTTGGCGACGAAAAACTGTTATTGGACATAGCGCTGCAACATTGCCAAAAAAGGGGCCAGAGTGATAAGAGGGAGGACCCCCAATAAAAGACAAGGACTGATGACGACAAGAGTTCGTTCGTTCGTCGTTCGCGAGAGAAATCCTTGCACTAGAAGTTCGTCCTCACCGAGTTGCCCCTCGCTCGGATACTTCCAGGATCCTTCTCCATCTACAGTGAACTCCTTTAAATTGATTCCTTCGAAAGTAAACTCCTTCCATCCAAGAGAACTCCATTTAAGTGACACCAACAGTCCTTCGATTCGTCTCAGATTCCTTACAAAGTATCTATAGAATCTTATCTTACAAAGTATCTATAGAATCTTATATGTAAGCCATCTCTCTCAACATATAACGCAAATTTGTTAAAACAGTTAAATCTTAAACGCAATCTTTACTTTAAATATTAATCTTTTTGTGTAATTAGCTTAATAAACGGAAATTGTTATTGTTTAATTTGCATTGGGTGCACTTCCTCAATCCGTGCCATCTCTCGTGTCGGATCTAAGTGCCTACAAACGCGACCGCTCGCGCGAACAAGACGGAAATTGCGGCCATTTAGGTTTCTGTGTCTACCTTAAAGACGCAGTGGTGTGTCAGTCCTGATAAACTGGTCATCGCAATGCGGTGTCGACCCTTTGGTCCCGTGGTGCCGAAGCATAGGGGCGTTGCTTCGCGCATTGTCACAATAGCTAGGGGCGCCCCTAGTGGCCATTTTTGGCATACAGTGACAGAAAGAAACAAAATGCCCAGTTTTTCAGATTTATATAGTAGATATTTATTTAAATATTCTCTAATTCTTCTATATTTTTCCCTCTGATAGTCAGGTTTAACGACTGACGTAATACATTTCTTAATATGTGGCTCATTTTGTTGTAACTGCCAAGAAAGGGCGTAGAGTAAAAAGGGCAGGGTTTCTCCAGTTTGTCCTGCTCAAAAGTGGCATTAATCAGATTANTTTAACTTCTTACTCCCTTCCAAATATATACATTATTAGGGCCTGCCTGTAAGAAATGCCTATTAAGAGCCTGAGCCTAATTAGACACTGCTTAAATTAATATATTTTGTTATATATTAAATATTTTTTAATAATAATAATTTATAATTTAGGAAGAAATTATGGATTTTATAGCTAATTATTTAATATATCACTCATTAATAACCTAAAATTTCATTTGAAAATATAATAAAATTATATAGTAATTTAAGACAAGGATTTAAAGATTTAAAGAGTGGAAAATTTTGAATTTTTTAGTGAGTAATAAGTTAATGCAAAATTAAAGAGGAACTTACAATTGTTATCACTTCCCCTTTACTGGGAGGGAAAGGTTACAACAAAGGAAACTTTTAAGAAAAGGAGGTGCTTTAGGGTGAATTGGATAGTAAATTGAAACAAATTGAGTAACAGATTACAAGAAAAATGATGTAAATGTTGTTATTTCTCAACATAAAATTAATTTTAAAAAAATATATTAATAATTGTAAATAGTTAAACGTTTAAAATGAAAAATGCTACAAGAAAATATTTTATTATTATTATTATTATTATTATTTTTCGTAAAAAACGAAAGTCGCGGCGTAGTCGTCGCTTTCGGATCGATAAAGTCACGTGACTCTCCAATCATTCGCCATCTTATTCTGCATTTGAAGTTAACTATCATTCCGGGGTTCATCATTAACTCTTAGACGTTTTAGATCATATAAAGCAGAAGATGTCCGCATCATACGAAACTTCACCTGTATACGGACCATTTTTCGGTGTGATGGGAGCATCCGCAGCCATGATATTTAGCGGTGAGACATAAACTTTTCTCCTATTGCCGGCTTCCGAATGAAAGACAATTGCCATTTTCTTAACGTTGTGTCGATTTAAAAAAATTCTTATACGTCATTATCTTATAATACTAATCGATAATAGAAGTAACAGTTAGTTTATTAATTAAATATACATTATTTTAAAAAATTTATTATTTAAAATTGAATGAAAATAAAGTATTAAATCAATTGGAATTCAATTCTAGGTTATGGATTTAGTTACAGACCTAAATACATGAATATTAATGAATGAAGGAGTAAAACCAGGTTTAAACACTGAAAATTATACATATACAGTGCTAAAACTATGCATTAAGAATGATAATTATGTATAGTTCTAGTATATATACATAAAGACTGAAAATTATGTGTGTGTATAAACTAAAACAAAGCTTAAAACCTATTAAAAATACATAAATATTTAGTATTAACCTTCAAAGTTTTGACTTTATAAATTTTATTTATTGAATTGGCATGATTCATGTGTTTTCAGGTATTGCATTATGAGTAATTGTGTGAAAATTAACTCATACTGGTTATTACAAAATATAAGTAACTTTGCTTTCACTTTTAGATTTATATTTGAAGATAATTTCGTGTTAAAAATTAAAATAAATGTTAAAAATGTGTTTAGGTGTCTTGTTTTATTGATACGTATTTGGATTTACGATAAAGTTAGTGTTTGTTTTCTTTATGTTATTCTACGTAATGATGCAAATCATTGCGTAGAATTTTTTACGAAATATTTGTAAATAGAATAATAAAAATTATGCAAGTTTCATTCTACCGTTTTCGTACGAAACTCGAATGAAATACTCGAGAAAATTTCGAATGGGATTAATGTTACTCGTGACTTATTATTACAATTTGGTTAATTCGATATATTAAAAAATTGTTTGTTATTATAAATCTTGTATGAAATAGTATTTAATTTGGCTTACAGATGATAGTGAATAAATTTTACTATGCCTCTTAGAAGTAAATTGTCATTGTTTATATAATTTCATACAATGTTTTTTGAGTTTTTTCATTTACAATTTTGTAGTTTTCATAATGAAATAAGTGAAAATGTTAACCATAGACACTGAAATAAATACATAAATATTCAGAGTTGTGGCTATCTGCATATGTTTTATTTTTATGATTTACTAATTTTTTAATCCCTGATAATTACACCCATATTTTTATATTTAATAAAGACAAAATGACAATCTTTAAACTAATTATGTGAATGACCAGTGCTATACAGATTGCATATGTTTTGGCATATGTGCAACTTAGCAACATTTGATAAGATCACATGCTTCTTTTTTCTTTTTATTTAAGAACTGATTTGTAACTACTTCCTGCATCCTCATTTTATTTTACCCTACTTTTAATTTTAGTGAGTAACCTGAAATATTTATTAATTAAACACCTGCTGTATTGAATGTAAAAAAAATTAATATTTGTATTTACTAAGTATTGAGTGTTACATTCAGTATAATTATTTAAATGTAATGCCAATGCTTGTGTTGCAATGGAAATATTGAATAGCTCTAACATAAAGTTGTCCTTATTTTTGCATCATTCAATGATACTGAAATATTAGTCATGTTTAATTAAAATTTGAAAAAATACTTTACATATTTTGAATTTAAATATGAAAAATGTATAAATGTTGTAAATTTAATTTCATTATAAATATAAAATATTTAATTCTTGTTGGTTTACATTTAAAAAATAATGATACAACAAATTTTATACATTTACTCTAGTTCTGTTGACTAATGATAATACTTAAGGGCTTTTGTTAGAGTAGAAAGCATTTATTAAAATTTTTTCTACTGGAGTAACATGATTAACATAATATTTTATACATTATCTTTTTGTTTTAATATGTAATCTTTATTATAAACAGATTGTTTATATAATATTTTACTTCTTGAATTTTATATAACTCTGTTTTAAATTTGAAAGCTTACAGTATAAAGATTATAATATTCACATCAGAGAGAACAATAGCCACAATACAACAAAATAGCATTTATTTTATTGAGGTTAAACTTGCATAAAACACGCATCATCATTTAATAGTTGCTTTCTCATTTTATCAGACTTTTTATAATTTAATGTTAAAATTTAAAAAAAAAATAAATATTTTATATCAAATTATTAAATATAATTTTTCTTTTTCGCTCGACCTAATTTTTGACACGATTTTATTAAATTTTTTTTAATATATTTTGCCTGAAATCTGTTAATATTTTTGTTTTATATTCTTTCAATAATTTTGTTTTTACTTTGAAAGATTGTAAGAGAATTGCAAATTTCTTCATATATTGAGTGTTAAAAGGTTTTATATGAAAAACTAATTTTAATGTAGGATTTTTTTATAGTATTAAATTGATTTTGTTTTTGCACAGATGTTTATCAATGAGTAAAATAACATTTTTAAATATTGCTTGGAGGTCTTAATCTCCTTCACTAATCAAGCATCTGATAAATTTCCTTTTAATTTGTTTTATGGAATAAAGTTCTTACTTGAACCCACACATCTAATACCGTTTTTGGTTATTGATTTGTTGACTGCATTTGTAATAATTTATATTTTTATAAATGTCTTCAACATATAATTCCTTTTTAGATATTACTTATTTAATGAACATTCCTTTGAAAATATTTATAATAATAATAATTTTTAAGATATAAAATTAACTTTCCATGTCTTGGCCAATGTTGCAATATTTCATAACCACAAAACCAGTTAGTGATTGTTATTTTTAACCAGTACTCATATTTATAATTAATTCTTACTGATCATTTAATTTAAATGAAGATAGTTACATCAAATTTATGAGTGACAGTTAACTTTAACTGCTCATCTTGTATTATTTTTTTAATGTACAAGGTGATCATAATTAAAGTAGCCCTGTTTAGCTGCATGTAGAGAGACATCTACTGGGCATGATTGGGCCAAACTTGATGATAATATTATTTGATACGTGCACAAACAATCTTTGTGAAAAAAATTTAGTTTCAAATCTCACCATCGGAATTGATGTGATGCTTTTAACTTAAAATTCTTATTCCCTAAAACATTGAAAACTTGGTAAAATTTAGTGAGACATTCTTTATTCCATCTGTATTTTAATATGACTAACTTATATATTATAGAACAAATAGAAGTTTCTGTTTACATTAAAATACATTTACTTTCTCAGCTCTTATATATAACAGAGGGAAAGTATGGTGATTGATCAAAAACTGATTCCCCAAGATTTTTACATTTTCTTAAGATACCTTGAAATGTAGAGAAATGCAAACAAATTTGGGAATAATTTCTGTATGTATTAATGTGTTTGTGTGTGTGCGGCGGGCGTGATTTTGTTTACTGTCTTTGAAGCTTAATAACACCTGTGCTTTATGTCGAAAATTTCTGAAATTTTGCAGGTAGGTTTCTGTATTAGGGAGATTGATGCTATTAAATTTTGAATGATAAAGGTTGAGGGGGGGAGATAATGGGGGTCGTGTATCTCAAGTAGGGTTGCACTTAATGACAATTTTACACATTATTAGCATTTGCAATTTTTTTTATAAAACTTGTAAAGCCTAATTTTGAGAATAGTTATATATTTTTAACTATTATAAAATGGAATAAAGTTTTTAAAAATAAAATATAACAGATGGCCCCACTAAAATTTTAAATGTTGCTGGAAAAGTAGAGCAACTCGTTGCTGGTTTTTTTTTTCAATTAAATAAGATTTGATTTTAGAGAAATCTTTTGTGTTTGTTGAATATCAATAAAGTGAAATGATATAAGGATTAATATTAAATATTTAGGAACGGAAATGAATATATTCTTTTAAATTTTCTGTTCTTTGTTGTTAATTTTTCTTGTTTAATTTCATAGATTATAAATCCTATAAAAACATTCATTTTCATTGAAGTGTTTTACTTGTTAAGAAAGTTGTGATACCTTCTAAACAGAATGTTTAAATGCTTAAATTAATATTGTGATAAAATTTGCATTTCATTAGAGGTGGAAAGCAAAAAGCTTTTTAAGATGATTTTAGCAAAGAAGATAGAAGTAGACTATAAGAGATTCCATTTTATATTAAAAGTAGTTGAGTAATGCATACCCCAGGATTTCTAAAGTATCAAGGTATGCAAGGAGGAACAATGGTAGTGTTATTATATTTTTTTGATTCACAAACTGAATTACTTAAGATGATTATATAGTTAAAACATCTTAAATGCTGTACCAATACAGACATCCCTTTATTTTTGGTATAAAATGTTTTGAGTCTACCTGACTCATCTCCAGATACAAGCCCAAACTCAATTGGACATAACTGACATTTTAAATTTTGGACATTAATAAAACTTCAAACTAGTATATGTGACACTTACTTCCTTAAACCTGTTACTAGCACACAACACATATAAGATAGATTGAAAACGTTTGTCACCTGCTGTATATATCTTATACATGTTGCGTGCCAGTAACAGGTTTAGGGAAGTCAGGCTTTTACTCCAGTGCTGAAATTAGAGTGAACTTTGTATAGTATATGTGATTTTACACATTGAAAAAATGAATCAACGTGTAAGCTCATGTTATTAAGGTTCCACTAATATTTGAAGTGTATTGGTTATGCTTGATTTTGGAATTGTATCTGAAGATGAAACAGATAGACTTGTCACTATTCTTGATATAAAACATTTTCATCTTCATATCTCAAATGCTATTCTAATAATGTAACATGGAGTTAGAACTGGAAAATAATACAGCAATTAAGGACAGTTATACAAGTTTGGAAATTTATGACATTCCTTGTAATGAGCATACAATTCTGAATAGCTGTCTCATAATTTATGTAAAACTAGTGTCCCTGTTTTTATATGGAAAAACTTTCAACAATTACCATGTAGAATTTGTATGCTGTACAAGCCAGGATATCCGAACATATTTGGCAACCCATTGATGATATTAGTCTGTC